ATTTCTTTTGAGGAACGCTAGATGCTGTCTCGGCTTTCAGTTGTGCTTTGCACCTCTTTCGCTGTTCCTTTTTCTATTGCAAAAATGAACCCCAGGTCATTGTAAACCTCCCTGCTTAGTATCTTTAATACTAAGTGAAAGTGAAAAGCAGTGCAGTCATGGGTGAAGTGAGCTGAAAACCCACAGTGGGGCTGTTGTTGAGAGGAGACATGCAGAACAGGAAGGGCCAGGACACTCCGTGGTTTTTGAAGATCTAGAAATGTGCTTATCTAGTTTTTCTTTACTCTGAGAACATATGTGTATATGGTAATTGGATTCACTCTGTACCGCTAGGCTCATTAAATGTAAAAGGCCTGACTCTTTATTGTCCTGCACCTTGCGTGGTCACCTATACCAGCGCAACATAGGTGTAAAATGCTACCATTATGATTTTGTAGCATTTTACACCCACTCTGCCCTGCATCAGTGACTGTACAAGGTGCAGGACAATGGTGAATCATGCCCCAAAGCAGCAGATTATGCCTCTCTCACTGATGCAGAGTCTACACCAGGAGTTAGGTAAGTGGATTTTTCACACCTGTGAGCGATGTAGCTTTGCCAATGTAAATTTTCAGTGTAGACCAGCCCTTACTCTGCAGGAAGTTCCTCCAAATTCAGTCTACGGAGGAAGGTGCAACTCAACATGAGCAAGGGGATCAGACTGTGGCCCAAAGTAACTTGGAATCCTAGTGATACTATCAGTGTCTTCAGAACACATCTCAGGGCTGTAAAGCCTCATGGCGGAAAGTATCATACGCAGGTCTAGGACACCCATTATAATACTTTATTTTATTGTCAGCAAAAAACTCAGTCCCCCTAACTTTACCGTAAGCATCAGAAGATGGAATAAAAAGACAAAGGGCAGATTAGCTAAAAGACATTCCTAATTCTAGGGGATTTTGTGTAACTCCGGAGTAGGTGATCTCTTCCCTGTGTTCTTTCCTATACATATAGAACATATCAAATCTTAGTGGGTGTGAAAATACAAGAGGGTGATAAATTGCCAGTGACTGTGGTGTTGTGAGGTTTGTTTTTGTAAAGTAGGTTCAGGTAAGGTTTTATTGACTCTGTAAGTAGTCTGCTCAGCTGATGGTGAGAGAGAGGTCTTTGCTCATGCTGAGATTTATACTTTCAGTTGTTTTTGTTCTTGTTGCAATTAAGATTTGGCTCCAGAGCTGTTGAACCAGCGCTCTGTTTGCGTTGTAAGTTATTACATCCTGCTCTGCACATGGCAGCTTCAGAAGGCCACGGAACAAGATTTCCATAGAATTGCGTCTCGGGCCTTTTGGCAGGGCGTTGCCTGCAAAGAGCGAACAGGGAGTTTCATTGTCATTGATTTTTCTCCTTCATCATCCTGGTACTCTTCTACATATGCTTATGGCCACAAAAGTTTCCCCCCACCTTTTAAACTAACGCAACTTGGAGCTTGATTAGTAATTGTACGTCCCCATTCACTAGAGATGCCTCTGTCAGTCAGTTGATGGGGTGACTGACATTTAGATGCTCTCATCCTAGAGTTCTGCCTTCAGCACATATAGCTGATGCCTCATGGCTGCCTGTCCTCTGTTCAGTTAGTGCCAAACAAGGACTAATTTTAGGTGAGCAGGTTGCATTATGTTGCAAGTGACATCTCCTCTATGGAAATTTCTCCCATATGGTGGCACTGAAACATGTTCATACCATGCTTACCTTCATGATGGAGGATAGAGAGACGTCTCTCACCGCAAGCCTGATTGGCCTTGTTCTAGGGGACGGAGGAAGAAGGCGCACATTAAAAACAAAGCTGTTGACATAGTCAGCAGGATTTTTGGTACCCTGGAGTCGCTGCATGTCCCCGTACATGAGAACTTCCCTTCAAGAGCTTGATCCTCACACTCGACCAGTGTGGATATTATACAGAAAATGTGCCCCAGTATGTAATTTGGGGGTTGGGCGGGATGGGGGAGAGCGGGAGGTATTGTTTAAAAATACCCGTTCAGTTCCTGGAGGAAAGGAAGCCGGGCTGGCCGTGATGCTCCTGTGCTTCCCCCTGAATGTCAAGGCAGTGTTCAACCTTACTGCTCTTCTGGACTCTGCTTCTGGCCAAAAAAGGCTCCTTCTCTCTATGGCTAGCCGTGAAGCTGCACTCCATCTTGACTGACATGGCCCTGAACACAACTCGCCTATGCTACTCATGAACTCCTCGCTTGATTACTGCAATGCCCTGAATCTGGGAATGAGTGGGGCTGCTCTGAGGAGGCTCCAGCTAGTTCAGCGTGTGTCTGCCTGCTTGCTTAGCATTGCATGGAGACATGAACGCCACCGCTCAAATGCTCCAGACTGCACTGACTGCCACAGAAATTTGGATTTAATTCAGTCTCCTGGGTTGGCTCTTCCAGCCACCCAATAGCCTTGGGTCCAAGTTATCTCCAGCAACATCTCTCCAATAACAGTGAGGTCTTACTGGTACCACAACAACTGCAATCATCAGGAACAAGAGAACTATAAAGATGGAAAGTGAGAATGGTGAAAGCAGGGAATAGGGGTTTCTCTGTGGTTGGCCCACAGCTGCTACTAGAGATTAGAATAGCCGTGAATTTTACCATGTTCCAGACTCATTGTAAGACCCATCTCTTGAATGTAGCTTTTCCCCATAAGTACCGCCTCAGGGAAGGTGATGGGGGAAGAAAGAAGTGGGGCTGGACGAGAATCACTGGAGGAAACAAAACAAAGACAATCCATTGCTATGTATTTAGGGATAGGAGGGAGTAGAGGAAAGAAATGCAACATGTTGCTTTTAGATGCTGCTGGCTTTGTAAATTTTTGTAAGGCTTCCCAATACCACAGTGATGAGCACAACAAACAGAGAGGTAGAGAAGTCCTTCAGGAATGAAGCCTGAGTAGATAATGAAGAGTGTGTGCTGTGAAAAGGGGAGAGGTTGCTGAGTGGTGGAGCGGACTTCAGGCTTACAAGATTGACTTCTTGGTTTCAGTTCAGTGCAGTCCTTCAGTGCTGGCCTTCATTTTAGGATGTGACAGTGCAGTGGTAATTGTTGGACTCTACCTTCTTGTGTGTTTCTGCTCAGGGGGAACAAACTATTCTGTGCAATAGACCTTTCTCCTGGTATGTCAGGTCTGCACTTAGGATTTTGACATGATTAGAGATGCTGAAAAAGGAACTGTAGTGCCTGAAACAATGCCAGAAGAGACATTGGCTAGGTCTACACTACAGCGGGGGGTCGACCTAAGATACGCAACTTCAGCTACGTGAATACCGTAGCTGAAGTTGTGTATTTTAGGTCAACTTACCTGGCTGTGAGGACGGGGGAAAGTCGACCGCTGCCGTCAACTCCGCTGCCGCCTCTTGCCGCGGTGGATTTCCGGAGTCGATGGCAGAGCGATCAGGGATCGATTTTATCGCGTCTTCACTAGACGCGATAAGTCGATCCCAGAACATCGATTGCCTGCCGCCGGACCCTCCGGTAAGTGTAGATGTACCCATTTACTGCATTGTCTGTAGTGCTGTTGTTGAAGGAGGGGAATGTTTCATGTATTCAAGCCCAAATCCTCACTCCACATTTCTTGATTGGTATATTTTTCATGATTGCATTTCATCCCCACTACCAAATAGGTTTGAATTTGAGATACAAACATGTTTCCATGCCAGGCCTGTATCAATAGGGATGAAATATGATCCTTATGAAAATCCGCTTGCAAAATCTGGAGTAGAATTTTAGGGCAGGAATACATGACATCTTCGCAAGGAGGAGGAGGATAACTCACTTGTAGGACTGGAAATCTTCTCTAAATTTAAATATATCCCATTAGTTATATAATCCACCTTGCTATCATAGTGCTATAAAACTAAATCATACCTGTTTAGTTTCTCTAATGCAGTACGATTTATACTATGCGCTATTTTAATGTAACTGAAATATTCTTATTGATGATAAAAGTATTTATTCGGGTTTTGCAAAACACAGAAACATGCTTGGAAAGTATCACTTTCAGGCACCAGTCCCCTGTCTAAATGAACCTTAAAAACCCAACTGATTTGTAATGCTACAGTGGTAAAGTTCATAGGGTAGGGTATATCTGTGGCACAGTGAGAGTTGTGAGTATGTTTATTTACCAAGCTGCTGGCTAGTATTATCGACTGCTCCTTTGGTTGTTTGACTTTAAAAGTTTTATCATGTCATGTAGCCAAGAGGTTTAAATTTGGAACAAATGGGCGTTTATGAATTCTGAGTTTACAATGAAATACCAGTGAAGTTGCATAGTCTTGTCATGTGAATAGCAAAGTAATCCATTGTGATTACTTTTATTATTTTCCTGTCAATGCCAAAAGCAGTCATACAGGTTTAATTATGAAGTGTTACCGAGGTTTCTTATGATGCTATATTTTTTAAGACGTGTCTTCACTGCAATGTTAGCGCAAGCTAGAACTTGAATTTTCCCCCTAACTTGATGCCTCTCCAGTCCCCGCTCACAAATTTGTATCTCAGATTCAGGAGTGCTTGAAGCTCGAGCGGTCCTGGCAATGGGGACTGGGGGAGGTGTTTGAAGCTGGAGTGCTGCTGATGCTCAAACTTCTCATGCTGTGAGGATGCAAGAGCTGAGTTACAACTCATCAGCTGCTAATCCAGTCGCTCTGAGATGCTAATGAAATCGTTCTGTGTCGCTCTCCAGTGTCATTTTGCCATCTGGTTGCTCTCACTTGAGCTAGGCAGCTCCAATGGAGTAATCTCTGAGTGAATCTGACTAACTCAAGCTAACTTTTGCAGGCAGGCAAGCCCTCAGGACTTGTGGGTCATTTCCAAACATTCCTTTTGGCTGTTTTCACTTGAGCTAAGACGACAGCAAATATTATTTGCTACTACTTTAATAAATGATGATAGTTTTTTAACATCTTAAATTTGTTCCCATTCTTAGCTGTTTAAACACCACTTTCACAACGCTTCATTTTCTGTCTTCTCTTTCAGATAATAGTTCAGTATTTAATGAGACAACAGCAGCGTCAGTTGATTGGCTGACCAGTTCCTCTGCTGAGAAGGTAAGTGAGGCTTACAGGAAAGCCGGCATTGAAAACCTCAGTGTGCTGTTCAATTATGTGTTTGGAATAGATTGGCACCTCTGCACTACTGGCTCTTTTTTACTCCAAAAACTGGATTAAAAATAGAGGGGCGGTTTCTAAGCAACGTTCTAGTCCCATTGCAAAGAGCCAGAGAGGGAGTTATTGCTCCTTTTATTAAAAAATAATCAAAGCACAATCCCATACTGGATAGTTACTCCTACGTTGTTTTTCCAGCCTTGCTTTGGGAACATGTGATGTATCATCTGCTGTTTGTGACTGTGGCCTTGCATGGAAAAAGGTGGCACAGGTGTAAGTGAGCTTACCATCTCACTTTCTCTCCCGTAACCATGATGCAGCATATCCAGTACTTTACAACTGAGTTTTATTTTAAGTATTCCTCTTACCTGTAGTGCGATTTGTGCACCTATGATATATGGTTTGCCCACAGAGATACGCTCACTTCTTTCAGAGGCCTTTTCAGCCGCTAGCAGTGCAGGCATAGGAGGATAGGTGCCTAATTTTACAAAATATATTATAATTCTGGATACCCCAAAAATCTGAAACGCTAGTGGAACTCATGAGATGTGTGCAGACGTAAACAATTTGAGCTGCATGATTTCATGTCACTTCCCTCTTCCCTGCCGCTGTATGTTTATTGTCCATCTTAGATCTTAAAAACTTTAGGGCAGGGAGGTTGTCTGTGATGTCTTAGTGCCATGCTCTCCTATGGTGCTATAGATATAGTTTGGACACCATTAATATCCTCACAGTGGTGTTACCTTTTGCCTAATAGGAAACAGCATCATAGTACCAAAGTTAATGCTGTAGTATTGTTAATTACTTGCAAACAGTAGGCCTCATCCTTGTGATTGGGGTTGGTCCTGCTTTGAGCAGGGGGTTGGACTAGATGACCTCCTGAGGTCTCTTCCAACCCTGATCTACTATGAGTCTATGACTGTATAGGTCAGCACTTGTGCCCATGAGGCCAATGGACTCCTTGTGGCTGGAGGGACCTTCCCACGCAGATCTGCTCAGGGTTGTAGTTCTAAAGATGTTAACATGGACCGCGGTACTAGTTCTCTCACTACAAACTTTAATTTGCCATAGTTTGGGCACATGAGAGCTCACCTGGGAGGCAAACTTTTGGAAGAGAAGGAGAAAAGAATAGAACTTGGTGGTTTCAAGCTTTTGTTTGGTTTTCCTGAATGAAGACTAAGTTTAAAACAGGAAATTTAACCTAAGGATGCAGAGCTGCTGGCTGGGTTTTCTTCATTATTATTTTTGTTTTTGTTTCTATTACAGTAACACCGAGAGGCCTCAGCTGAAATTGAGGCTCTGTTGTGCTAGGCACTGTACAAACACCTAGTAAGAGAGAATCCCTGCCCTAAGGTGTTTACAATCTTAAATAGACAAGACAAAGGGTGTGTGGCGGGGAGGAGACAGAGTCCAAGTGACTTGCCCAAGGATACCCAGCCGGTTGATAGCAGAGCCAGGAATAGAAGCTAGGTCTCCTGATTTCCAGCTAGTTGCCCTGTGCGCTGGACTACGCTGCCTTCCTGGTGTCTCCTTTTAGTCTTCCATGATTTTGTTACTGTGCCTATGTGCAGTCACTGTGGTACTTCAGCAGCTGAGTTCCGCTCTTTCACTGGGACTGAAAATCGGGTCCTAATTGTTCAGCTTCCCTTCATAGTAAATGATGCTTTTAAAAATGATGAGCAGCCCCAAGCGCTAGTACAACACTACCTGTCAAGGCTCTGGAGGCTGCCTGTCAGGAAAAGAACGCCAGTTGCTGCTTCAGTTTCATTAAGAAGAACAGCTCTTCTCGCTATTTGTGGAGTTCGCATTCGATTTTCAGGCTTGGGGAATGGCTGGAGAAGTGCATAAGGGGAAAGTGACTGATTAATTTAGGGGGGTGAAGATATAAAAAAAGCCCAGTTCAGAAGAGGAAGCTGGTGCAAATAACCCAGCAGGTCATATTTCCAGATGCTCTTCTATGGGACAGGGTCCACAGCACCAGATATCCCCCTCCCTTAAAGCCCCACAGGCTACCATCCTTCCTGCGACTTAATAGGACTGGCCGGTGCTCCCTTCAGAGCTGATCAGCATCTCTCCTGGGTCAGCCAGAGAGAGAGACATCAAGCAGCGCTCTCCCTACGGGAGCTGAACAAGCTGCTTCGGTAGCACTCCCAGCCAGGGGGAGTCGGACACTGGACCCAGAGATTAATACCTGTTCCCTTGCATGTGCCAGTGTAGAGAAATAACTCCAGGACCAACTCAGTGTTTTCCCTCAAGCACTAAGCTTCCTTATAGTTTTAGAACAAAACAAATTGTTAGGGGCACGTGACAATGTTAGGACTGGGAAGAACAGTCCTATTATAAATCCTTGTAGACAGTTAGCCAGGGAAGCAAATGTGCTGAATCTTTGAATGTACTGTGACAAAGTGAGAGAGCTTCAGGGTACTTCTTGGAGTTGACATCCCACTTGTATCTGAAAATGGCATATCTCATTTATCCGCTGGTTCAGAACCCTTACCAATGTACTTCCACTGACAGCCAGCCACGGTGGAAGGTCATCTTGTTGGTCCATGTGTTGCCCGCATGGTGCTTGCGGTCTAATCTCAAAGCTGGAAAAGGAAACCTGTAATAAAACATTGTGCTTCTTTGGGTAACAACAGTGCAACCAAGTAGTCCAAAAACTTTCCATCTATTTTAAATCTATGAACGGACTCTGGTACTTCAGAGTACAGAGCCCTTCAGTGTACCTGTCAGTTTCAGATGTGCTGCCTCTTGAATGATTTAGTTAATGGCAAATGCTTCTGATGATGGGTGTTTGTTTTATTTTAACGACATGGTAATGGGGAAAAGGCTCATGAGGAAGCCTTCATTTTTTCTCTTGTGTGTCTGGTGACCCGAACACTCATTTTCTTTGAAACATTCAATTAACGCTCTAGAGTTGTGCATTTATGAAGCCATTGGCATCCAAGACCTAGTGGTTTAACCCTCCAGGAATACACATTCAAAATCAGCATGTGGGAGGCAGGCACAAAATCTTAGTTCTGTCTTTATCTCCCTGCTCTGAAAACACCCACCCACTTAGCCTTTTTGTTCCAGGCTTGAAGTTAGCAGTCCAGGCAGATAGGGAGAAATCCTGTTGACAGGAAACCTGTTTTTGCTTCTTTGTGCTTCAGAGAGAGAAAATGCTGAGAGAGCAAATGTGGCAGCACCTTGTCAGGTGGATAACTGATAGTCTCTCCCCCTTCCCTACACCCTCCATCATTGTCAGCAAAATCACACCTCAGTTCAACTACAACTTTCTGGATTGGTGAAATTTGCTGAGGAAGCTGCAATATAATACAAGCAGCCTTCCAACACAATTTGATATGTGGTCAATGTTTAGTTGCATGCCTGATGTATATTGATACGTGTATATAAGTGTATAAGATACTAACAGACACATACTGTGGTTACATGTGTGTATCCTCCAACAGTAGGCATCTCCGGGTTGTAAATCAGTACTTTTAAAATATCTCCAAGGTTTCCAGTACAATTTTGTCTGTCCACTAGTACAGTATTCCACTGCTAAGCAACTGATTTTTTTCCCCTGATTCCTTGTGTGGTTGTTTAAGGGAATGCCATCATATTGTATCTCCTATTTCAATCTGAAAATGTTGTGACTAGTATAGTAATAAGCAACATCTAAGATTCCTGTAACTAAAAAGATTAATAGTCTTCTCTTTTTGTTTGTTTGTGGACTTTGTGCATTTAACTGCACTTTGTATATAGCTCATTTCACTGCTTCTATTGTTAGTCAGTTTCCTCCATTTGAGTTTTTCTGCAGCATAAGGCAGAAAACATGTTTTTGAATAGGAAAATGTGACTGTAAACTCCCCTCCAGAATTGGCAGGAGGTTCGAGGATAGGTGTAGCTACCTGAAACTACTTCAGTTTTGTTTAACACTGTATTTTGAGTGGACTGTGTCCCTTTAAACTGCCCACACCTGTTTCTCACAAGTTTATTCTGATGATGCACATACACATTTTGTATTCTTCATTCCTTATGCATTCATATTTGGTCTCTCCTTCTCACCACACTGACATTGCTGACAATTATGTACACATAGGGAGAGGAGAAGAGAACTCCATAAACTCTGCTGAGTATTAGGCAATAGATCATTTTCTGAGATAACACGCAAGGAAATGAGGAGTCTATAATGTAATTATAAGTACAAATTGTGTTCCTTATTGGGAATTACAACGTTATCTGTTTTAAAATATTTGAATTCATGTGTATGCAATTAAGATTTGCTCACATGTAGAATCTTTTCCAGTGCTACTATAAAAAAGGGCCCAATTCAAGTCCCACAGAAGTCAGTGGAAATATTTGTTTTCAGTAGGAGTTGTACTGAGTTCCAGGTGAGCTGGTGCTTTAAAACATTACTGCAGGGAATGCCTTAAGACTCAATACAGAAACATTCCACTACTGTGCTTTTCTAATGGCCCTCAAAAGGAAAGTCAAACTTTATCTTGTATATTGCCACTAAATCCATGCAGGGTCTTTATGTATGGTACAACAGACAGCAGAGCTGAAAGTCAGGGGGTCTCTCAGATAAATATATAGATATATATATAAAAGAGGAACACTTTCCTGTCAGGTGTTGGGTAACTCCACTTGGGGGAAGAATTCCATAGATTTTTTTTTTTTTTTTTGCCAGATTTAGGCAAACTTATTTTTATGTTCAGTTTTTCAATGGTAATTAAACCAAGATCAGTGAAATCATACATCCCCTTTTCTCAAAGGAGGTTGCAATTTTATTGTTGGCAGCTACAGTTTTCTGAACAGTACTAGATGCAGCAGTGTTAAAATGAGTCATAAGAAATACAAGGCTCAGATTGCCTGACGATGCCCAATACAAAGTCTGGTAAGGGAACTGTTTTGCAGTTCTGTACTTTGCAATTTAATGTGATTACCGAGACGTGCATTTTGTGGTGGAGTCTGGTATTCTCTGGCCATTTTGTGCTCTGCACACACTGGTAAACTGAGGGTTTCTATGAAATATATAGAGGGACCCCAGAACTGAATTAGAGCTTTGTTTTCAATATAAAACCAGGAATGTGTGAAGGGCCAGTGTGTTGGTTCACTGGTAGGGCTACACGTTACCCAGAATTAATCAGACTTTGCATCAGTAGCTCAACATACTTCTACCCAGACCAATAAAACATGAGAACTTTGTGGAGGTGATGCTCATAACTCAGTTACAGAGGGGTCTGAGCTGCTGCTGCTGCCCAGAGCTTGCTCTGGAGTGGAAGCCTCCTACTGTCAAACGACATCAGGCAGTCTTGGGACCCACTTTGAGGAAGTGCATGGGGTCTCTTCTGCTAGAGGGCCGGCATGTTGTGGCTTCTCTGATAGGAATAGGTTTTGATTAGGTGGTGTGGGCAAGAAGTGAACTAGAGAAAATTAAATCTGAGTGTCGAGTTTGGGTCTCAGACCAGCTGTTCCACTTGCACATCAGAACTCTGCATCTGGTTTTCAACTTGATCAGGCAAGCCAAAGGGAAGCTAGACAATGATTGGCTGAGGGGGATTGACAAAGATTGGGGAGGCCCTGCCAGTGGAGAAAGAGGCAGTTCTCCTTATCCACTGGAGAGGACAGGGATGAAACGATATTCTCGCTGAAGAGGTTTGTATTGTTGGTTGGTATCACTGACTTACATTTTAAATTTAAAAATCTGAGGGGGAATCCAGCTTTGCCTTTTGTTTGTGCACACGCACCTGCCCTGCTGCCCGGTTTATGTTCACTCGCTACTCAGTGAACAGCCACACCACTGCAGAGACTTTCATCCTCAGAGCATATCATTGTAGCTCTGGGCTCTCTGTTCCAGCTGCTATTTTAGTGAATAGCAGAGTTAATATAACAGAGCACAGCTTCATGGGATATTTTCTTTGCTCTTTAGTACAATAACACGATCGACTGGCCATCTCTGACAAAGAAGGAGTGCTGGAAATATGGAGGCTACCTTGTGGGCAACAACTGCAACTACGTCCCTGACATCACCCTCATGTCTTTTATCCTCTTCTTTGGCACCTACACCTGCTCCATGGCCCTGAAGAAATTCAAAGCCAGCCGTTATTTCCCAACTACTGTAAGTATCTCTCTGTTTATCACGTGGGGGAATTTCCTTATTCCTCCAGAGCACATATAGTATTGTACTCTTGTTTGCAACCCCTCCTTTTGCAATAGATACAGCGCAGAAGGACAAATTGCACCACTACGTGGGGATGCACATACTGACACCAGATCCTATTTGTTGAAGTTTGTTGTTGGCAAAATTGCTTATTTTTCAGCTCTAAACTTCCAAATGTTCCTGGAGGGCACAAGTCAGACAGTGGAAGAATTGAAAACTGGCTGGAGTCTGTAGTGACAATAACGCTTAAACAGACAAGAATTCTAAGCTGAGGGGTGCAGTGATACAGTTGATTAGTACACATCTCATCAAAGCTTTTGCTTCCAGCATTAAGAATTCACCAATGCAGAGCTCTTAGTTTATACAGAAAACTGAGCTGCCAGTAGTAGCCAAAGGCCATTTTCAGTGTCCTGATAGTAAAGCTGAGTGCTGCTCCCACTGCATGACCGGATACCTGGTGATCAACAGTCTCCTGGGTGGTATGCCTGAACGTATAAACAGAAATCACTTGATCAAGGGACACAAAGGTGCAGCAAAAACATAAGTAAGCAACTTCCTATCTGTACAAAAAGAAGTTAAAATAGTCCAGTGTCTCATAATGCCCTAGAAATAAGTCTATCTAGAATATGAAAACAGACACCTCATAATATTAAGGTTGCAAATTTTAAATGCTCAGAAGTCAGAATATGAAAAAGTTATGGTCCTAGTAGTAATGTTACCTCAGCCATGATGCATTTCCTATATATCTTGTGGTATGCATTTAACAGCATAAATTCTATCGAATGAAAAAGCTCATGTTCTCATAGCAATGTTTGCTCTCAGCCATATTTTACCTCTTAACAGCCTAGATACTGAAGCCCTCTCTCTAGATCAGGCACAGCACGGGCAGGTAAAGGAGAGACATCAAGCTTCCTCACCATGCAAATGTGCTTCTATCTAATCAACAGAAGTTGGTGCATTAAAAGCTGTATCTCGCCCGCCTTGTTTGTCTCTACCTAGAACAGTCAAGTTAGGTTTTTCTGTGTATCTAAGTACTCACTTGGGATGAGAGACTCCATTCAGTCTCCATTCCCAACTGGTCTTCAGCCACTTTGCCGTTTCAAGGGAGATGTGACAGCTCCCCAGAAGATGTTCTACTTCTTGCAGTGGTGGCCTCTCACAGTAGTAGCAGCAGCAGCACTGGGGCTGTCTCAGCAGTCCTAGGAAAACAGCACTACTTCCGTTATTGTCATTTTGTATTTGGGAGGTTTTTTTGTGACCATAAAGGGCTAGGGACTGAATTTCTATTTTATAAAGGAACCACTGGTTCTGCAGAAGTTGACTGCACATGCCCAGAGCTCTGCAGACTTTGAGCTAAAGCTTCTCCTCCTACATGAGGTGGATTTCTCGAGCCCTGCACATATAGATATAATAATTTTAGTGCAGATTGGGTCTCTTGCTCTTCATGCTGAAGGCAATTAGGGAGATATTTGATCTCTGAATAGAGGTGTTTCAGTAACACAGCTCTTAGTACCTCTCTCCGGACAACAGACTCTTAGCCAACTGATACATAGCCATGGTGGGTCAGCAAAAGCTGCTTGTTCTGTTTGCCCAGAGTCACAGTGACAGCTGTCAAAGGTGAGAGAGGTTGTGAAAAAAGTTCTACTCCTTCCCTTTTAGAGAACCCAGTTTTCAATATTTTGGACAACAGCGTTCCCTGTCCCCAAGATCCAACCCTAATTTTATCAGAGCGAAAACTTTAAAAACAAGGGCACTAGTTTCAGGTTTCTGTACATAACAAAACACTCTCTCTCTCTCAGAACCCCCCTGTGGCATTCTCAGTGCAATAGGATTTATAGTACAGTGATGTTTATGCTCCTGCAGCACTGAAATGGAACTTTTATTATTTTTAATGAAAAGAAAACAAATTCCACCCTGGCTGGAATGTAGTTCCGTTTATCTGTAACCATGTGAAGCTGGGGAGCCTGAGAGGAAGAACGCTGAAAAGTTGACACAATAGTCTATAAAAGCCCAATGAGATCTGGCTAGTTAAATTTCAAGAGCCAGACCCTCAGCTGGTGAAAACGGTCACAGCTACGTTGACTTCAATGGAGTTACAACAGTTGACACAGGTTGAGGATCTGCCCCCAATTTCTTTTCACTTCAGTTTTGTGGTTCATTTATTACCTTAACACCGTAAAAAAGAAACATCAGGGTGTGATTTTAAAAACTCTTCTCTTCGGTACATAGCACCACACCCATATTGAAATGTTTTCTGCTCCTTTCTTTTGAGTTCCTCTCTCTGACCTCCCCACGTGAGTCCCTTGGTGACTGTTTCCATTGCTGATGTGAAATCTTGATTTCTTTCTTGCTTCTATAGTTTCATATTAAAGACCCAATCTGCCTTGCAAAATAGGCTATATTAAAAAATTGTTTCGGGAATCAGCGTTGCTAAATCTCTTGATTTTTACCTTGAGACACATGACTACAGAAGAAACTCAACTTCCTTTTTTTCCCCCCCCCCAAATGAAAGTTTCTAGCCCTGATGGTAGCTATGAAAAGCTTGAAAACATAAACCCTAAAAAAAAAAATCAAACATCAGGAGGCAAATAAAAAGAGCCCAATATTTATTTGTTTAAAATTTCATTATTTTGGAGAGACCGGATTTCATACTTTTTGAACCCTTGTTGGCAATACGGGGAGTGATGTTGAAACCCCTTTAATTTAATATGGTTGTACAAGACAGTGTGTGAACAGGATGAATCTTACACACACATACACATCTCTCTCGCACATGCATGCAAACAAAGATATGGCCCATCCATACTGGTTGGTAGCAAGTCAGCCCAAACATTTTAGTTCAACCTGTTTGCAAGATCAGTTCCTGAAGGTAGTTTTAACATGCTATGGTAATGGTATTTGTAACACTGTTGCACTCAAGAACAGGAGAATTTCCCCTCTCTCCTTTCTTCCCTGACACCTTCCTTCACTTGTAGACAGACTTGTAAACATTCCTTCACTTGTAGACAGAGCACGCTTGATACAGAAAATTGAGACACAGTAGAAATGAAACCCTTTGATGATGATTTTTTTTAATTCTTAGGACCCCAATTCAGGAAAGCATCCCTACTCGATTTTTCTCTGCTTAAAGTTGAGCATGTGCTTACGTGCTTTCCTGAATTGGGGCCTACAGCTGCACTTTAAATTATTGTGGTCTATCCTGCAGCACACATGGGCTTGTCAGCCTGCTTACTGGCACCTTTACAAAATGCCCATAGGACTGTGGGGTCATTGAAGTAACAGAACTTGCTAAGCAACTGAAACTGAAGATGCTGACTGACAAACGTCTAGACAAAACCTGCGGTTGGTTAATTGAAGCCCTTGTGGGGGTGGCTGCAGGTGTAAACTGAGTCTGTCTTGGAAAATCCATTTTTTCTTTGCTGTAGGTTATTCTTTACCCAGCAATCCATGAACATGAGCCGCAACAGTTAGGTTCCTCTAGCTGGATTGTGTTTTTAAATTTTAATTCTGAGGGTTGGGCTGTGCATTGATCCGTACAACACAAGGCAGGTAGCATGAACCGGGAGTTAACCTGTTGCATACAAGAGACACAGCTCCTTTATTTCATTCAGGCATGCAGAATGTACACATTGTTGCATTTTTCCTTCTTTAAATGATTGGCTTTCTGCAGTTTACCATTGTTTACAAACTGACAGCGCTAGAAACATACCATCCAAAGATCCTCAAACATCCTTATTCATCCCAGCCACTGGCTTGCATCTAATATTGACAGCTGACAAACAATCCCAACAGTGTACCACTAAAAATCTTACTATAGCCGCAAACACCCTTTTTAATCTCAGTAATGATCTGGCATCTAATTTTGAGAACTATTCAGAGATCTTTGATCAAAATCTCCTCCCACCATCTCTTCTTCCAGACACGTCTCATCTTACTTAAGATGCCTTTTGTTTTAATAAGAGGCTCATTTTTCTTGATGGAGTTACATCACAGCTTTTCAGAAACCATTCCTGTGGGGGAACTGGGTCTGTATAATGGGAATTGTTAGCCAATGTAGAATTAGATTATCAGTAAGATTGCATGGGAGAATTTTTGTGGGAGTACTCTGCAACAGAAGCTGTTTTTCCTTGGGGTTGTTTTGGTAGTTCTGTTTAGGCCTAATTGTTTGGCTTTCAGACCAATAAATAGGTCTGAATCTGATACAATAATAAAGTATCAAAGCACATTTTTTTAAAATCACTTCAGCCACTGCAATGTGCCCCTTTTGTCCCTACAGAAAGGGAAATGTTTACCCTGAATTGCCACCAACTACAAGAACAAGAGTATCACATTGAATTTAAACGGTTGCTCTTGGTACCAGCCACTGTTATGGTGTCACCTTCTATTTCAGGCCAGGAAGCTCATCAGTGACTTTGCCATTATCTTGTCCATTCTGATTTTCTGTGGAATAGATGCCCTAGTAGGTGTGGATACACCGAAACTAATTGTGCCAAGTGAATTCAAGGTAGGTAAAAGTGGTCTCTCAACACACAACCGTTATTTTACTCTGTGGCTTCTGTTGCACTCTGCTGTTTCTATCTTCCTCCTGTGAAATTACCAACCATCAGACCAACAGTCATACAAAAATAAGCTATCCAGGAAGGATTGTATTGCTGAGCCAGTTAGAAAGCAGTTTATTTAGAAGTGCAAATTTATATCATCTCCATTAACACCATGTCAATTGGCTGAAATGTCTTCTAAAATGTAATGACAAAACTTGAACGTAGAGCGGGATCCTGCCAAGCTTGCTTGTGTTCAGTAGCACCTTAGTCCATGATTTCAATGGGCCAAATTGTGTTGTGCTTACTCACAGGGCCGGCTTTAAGCCGATTCGTCCGATTCCCCGGAATGAGGGCCCCGCACCTAAGAGGGCCCCGCAATGTCCGGGGCTGCTGGCGGAATGGGGGAGGGGAAGAAAAAAAAAAAA